AAAACTCGTGGGTTGGGATAAAAACAGTTTAATAATTGAAATAAAATAATGATAATAATAATGAATACACAAAGTGACACACAATGCAATTGCTCACCACCTGCTGACCGATGCCCAGCCAGTCCCCGAGCAGCGGCCCCCCTGGCCAGCTTTCCCCAGTTTATATACTGAGCATGACATCACATGGTATGGAATGTTTCTTTGGCCAGTTTGGCTGTGCCCCTTCCCAGCTTCTTGTGCACCTCCAGCCTTCCCAGTCAGTAGAGCATGGGAAGCTGAAAAGTCCTTGGCTAGTGTAAGCATTACCTAGCAACAACTAAAACATCGGTGTGTTATCAACATTGTTCTGGTCCTAAATCCAAAACACAGCACTGTACCAGCTACTAGGAAGGAAATTAACTCTATCCCTGCCGAAACCAGGACAATATTCCTACTTGGAAGACTGCTCCTAGCACTTGTTACTTTGGTAACAACTTTGAATTATAAGTGTTGTCTCTAGCTTTCCCTCCTTAGTATTTACCCTTCCAATATGAATATGAAGGAGCAAATCTCTCTCCTAAGTTTCATGTTAGGAAGGTAAAGTAACAGAATTCCAAGTTTTCATTTTGAGATGATTTCTCTCAACTCGATTTAGTTTGACTTTCCCCAAAGACGGGCAGACTTGTAACTAATAGTCCCTGTATAACAAGACCCTAATATAATTGTTTTCTCTGTTAGAACTCTTTTCTTATACTATCTTGGATTATACTTTGGGATGCAGTCTCTGTACCAACAAATAAGCCCAAGCCTTTCTTCTTGATTATCTTTGATTCGCATACTGCTAATTCTTATTTAACCCCAAATATGCTATAAAGTGCTCAGCTTGCACTTCCTTGAAAACATGAAGGTGTTTCCATGTTCAAAACATGAAGATGTTTTCATCTTAGATCTGCCGCTTCAGTTCTTGAGATCGTTTAGGAGATCTAATCTGTTTTCATGTTGACAACAGATCCTAACTTTGTTAGTCCCTGTACAAAATTGGTTTTGTAGAGGGATCACATCCTAAGTAACCTTCCTCCAGACTCAGACTTTATCTTTGCATGTGGCTTGTCCTAACCCAGCTTCTCCACCTTAGCTTCTCATTTAGCATGTTATCACGTTTTTAGAGGTCTAGATAACAGCATCTCGTCTATAGAGGTAAACTGAATAGTCTTACTAAAGAGGGAGAAGATTAGCTTGGAGTGATCTGCTTCTGGGTAAATCCAAGTCTTGTTTTATCCCACTTCTCACTTTCTCCATTCTCTAATCCTCTGTGGTATGTGATAGTCTTGCCCTCTGTAGAGGTCTGATGGTTGTCCAGCTCTGTTGCCTTTTGCTAATAGTGAAGGCTGTTTAAATGACGTCTCCCCAGTTTCAGTACCTTTCGAGTCCTTGATTTTTATGAAGTATTCCCAAACTGAGTATAACAAGGTATTTGAATTTTATATCTGTATTTTAATTCCTCTTAGCCTTTGGGGGTTCTTCCCCTCTTATTCTGGTAATCCTACTTACTGAATATTTAAATCAAAAGCATTAATTCTGAGAGCATTTTTAATCTCCATTTTCCATATGCATTTTTTCCTTCCCCACCTTTTTTATTCATATAGGTTAAAAACCCCCTTTTTTCTTTTTTTTTTTTTTTTGTTTTTTTCTTAGTGAGAGCTAACTCTGCATAAAGGTTATTGTTCTACTTCCAGTTATGATGTCTCTGCCAAAAAAATGAATCAGTCACTCAGGATTGGCTGTGGTGAAGTACAAATCTGCAGCCTTTTTTTGAGGAATGAACTTAAGGTATTTGGAGTGAAAGTTGATCTACTGCATAGCTTAAGCTAAGCTGATGACCTAGAAAAAAAATCACATGAGCAAATGGAGGGGGATTGGAGCATGGCTTAGTTAGCCCTGATGAAATGCAGGTTCTGTGGATGATCCATGTAAATCGGAGGAGCGTATGGTCTTTTGTGGCCCAAACACAACTTGTCTGTTACAGCAGTTTGTTATAGCAGTATTTCTTTTTAAAATACCGACTAATTTAGCTGTCCCTAATGGTGAAGAGTAATTTGTGGATTGTATGTGGATGAACAGTATGCAGTCCCGTGGGACACAGGAGACAGGCCACATCCTGTTATAGTGGAAATGCACTTATTTTTCTTTTCCATACTTTGCTTCTTAGAAGCCACGTGTTTTGAAACACACTTTTAAGATGCATCAACAGAAGCTTCAAATAGTGGGTTAAATTAGGTTTTCTAAAACTTCAGAAGAACTTTAGCAACTTTCTTGCTTTACCACAAGCCTTAGCCAACTCGTGTTGCAACTCTTATGTGATTTCTAGAGACACAGAATGGGACCTCTGTGGGACCAGTGCCGTAGGCCTTAATGTAAAGAGCTGTCAAAGAGCTGTGATATCTCAGCTTTAAACCACTTCCAAAATTGCTGAAGTCCTGTGTCCTTGGTAGTAGATACTGTCTTCTTGGTACAGTCTCTCTTCTTCAGCAGCACTGCTGTTGGATTTTGTGTTGTCATAACTGAGCAATAAACTGAGTATAATGGTGTCAGTGATAGTTCATGTTAGCGAGCCCTGGCAAAGACCTTAACAGACAACCTGCAGGCTATATCCAATCTGACAGCACAAAAAAGTGGCCAACTGGTGACATGTTTTCTTACTATTTCGGCTCAGATCACACTGTGTCAGTGCGGCTGAAGTACGGTACACCGTGTCTCAAGTGAGTTGCAGGTGATGCTGTAGATTCCCATTACTAGCAGTTTGCAGGTTAGCTGCAGGGACCAGTTTGCAGTTTGCAGAGCTGAGCTGACCCAGCACTAGCACTGAGTTGCCAGGAGGCTGGTGATTTCATGGGTGGTGCCCAGGCGGAGAATGAGAAAGGAAGTTCTCCAGGTACTTTCCTTGGTGCTATGCTACCTTTGTGCAATGAGCTGGAACGGGAACTGCTGACCACTGCTGCCTGTAGCTGTTGTGGAGCGGCCCTTGCCAACAGGAAATGGTATTGGATTAATTCATTCTTCCCATTTCACTGCTTAAGCCAACGGAGCCCTGATACTGACCTATTTTCCTTGACATGCTCTTAGTCGAGCTGCTAGCTTTAGTTAGTGATGTGTGTGTTCCATTTAAGGTGCTTAACATGGGGTTTTTGTTTGTTTTCAAATTGTTTCTGTAGAGCATGAAGACTTTTTAACAGTAGCAGAGTCTCTGAAGAAAGAGTTTGACAGCCCAGAAACCTCAGACCTAAAGTTCCGTGTAGATGGAAAGTACATCCATGTCCACAAAGCTGTTCTGAAAATCAGGTAGTGATCATGTTTCATAGCTCTTGTTTATACAGAATAACCTCTTAGTATCGCATCTAAGGGGGGGAGAAGTAAGGGGTAGGGAGGGACCCCTAAACCTGTAATATATAGCATCTATGTATCCACAATCACTTTAAATGAAGTGATTGTAAAAGGAGTTGAATCAAAACTCTGTCTTAAAATGGTCCATATTCAATTTTCACTAAGCCTGTTTGTTGTTCCCAGGATAATAAGTTCTGTTAAGTTGGTCTGATTGCAATGTATACACAGACGTTTCTGTAGCATAAATCAAATAAGAGTTTTATCTTGATGCACAAGTATAACAATGCCCACAGTATTAGGAACCAAAATGTGGACCACTGGCTGTGATGGGGTATGGTAAAATATTTGTGAATATTGCAGAGTGCCCCAAAGACATATTTCGGGGGGACTGTAATGTAACGTTCATGTGTACATATAATAGTGTTCCAGATGATGTCTTTGTCTCTTAGGTGTGAACACTTCAGAACCATGTTCCAGTCATACTGGAATGAGGATATGAAGGAAGTGATAGAAATAGACCAGTTTTCTTACCCTGTGTATCGTGCCTTTCTTGAGTACTTGTATACAGACAGTGTTGACCTTCCGCCTGAAGATGCAATAGGTATTGCTTATGGTCCAATTATGTTAGAAAGCAGCATCCAGAAAACCTGAGACAGGGGATGCAGAATAAATGTATTAATACAGGCTTCTAGTCTAGCCTATAATGTGTTTTACTGGTAATTAATTAAGCTGTCTTTAAAATACTGTTGTAGCAAACTTACTACAGCAAAAGTGGTACATATTTAGAAATAAACTCTGAGCAGTTTTTTTAAGGTTGGGAGAGAAACTATTTGTCTGAGTTAAAATACTTGCGTATTTTACTAAATTAAGTCAATTATTGTTTAGGATAATATGAAAGAATCTCAGTAGATCTAATAGGGGAAACTCGGACAGCAGAGCAAAGATCAAGCTGTAATTGAAGCACAGATTTTTATAATGGTAGCTTTTTGCTTGTGTTGCTGTTTTGTGACAGTTCCACTCTCGCAAGCAGTTAGATATGCAAATCAGTAGAACAGCTTGCGTATTTACAGAGATTAACAGGATTGCGGCATGAGGTAACAAAAGGCCTTTCTTCCTGTGTAGTGGTAAAATATATTTTTCTGAATAGTGACCTACTTGCAAAAAGCATGTTATAGACATATAGAACATGGCATACAAAGTACAGATGCAACCTGTACCCCAGGAGCATAAACTGTTGTTGAAAGAGCAGAGATCATTACAAGTGACTAATATGATGGCATTTTAATTGCAGGGCTTTTGGATTTGGCTACTTCGTACTGTGAAAATAGACTGAAAAAACTGTGTCAACACATTATCAAGAGAGGAATTACTGTGGAAAACGCATTTTCATTGCTCTCTGCTGCTGTCAGATATGATGCAGAGGTAAACTTCTAAACTTCAATCTCTTAAATAGGTAGCTGCTTTCTGACTTAAACTATAGAGAAAAGTAGCCAGTTATATTTTCATATAAACTCTCTCTAACTTAGTATCAGATAATACTATTTGCCACTTTCAGAATTTGAGACTGTTGGAATTATAAAAACTGTATTTGCCATGAGAGATGTATCTTCCCCCCCCCCTCCATAAACCAGTACTGGGAAGGTGAACTGGTACACAGGTATCTAAAGATGACTTAAGTCCCAGGCTGAGACTCAGTATCTCTAAATGTTTGCATTGCTTAATTTCATGGTAAAAGGCTATGACGCTGTGCCGAGCTTCATGAATTACTATTTCTGTGTGTGGGAACTGTAACAAAAAATTTCTGAGGATGAAAACACTAACTCTGAGACAAGGGAAGGGTTTAAATACAAAGCAAACCCCCTAACATTATGAAGAGCAGTCTTGTAAGCCTTAAGTTACTTATTTATAAGGTTGTGTGGTGTGTGTGATGTCATATGGTGGTAGGTTTGGGGATTGAGTGCATTGGGCTTTTTTTTTTGGTTGGCAGGGTGTTTTTTTGTTGGCTTTTTTTTGTTTGTTTCGTTTAGCTACAGTCAAATACACTTTCAGTCTTAACAGCGTGCTAATGAAATGGCAGGATAAGAACTGCTTTATGTGCCTAATAAATTTTGAAGACAGAAAGAGTGTGTGAAAAGGGGGGAAGGCTAGCAAAACTTCCCTACTGCATAATGTCTGATTTCACTACTAGATCATTAACATGCTGCTTCGTGAACTAATCAGGAAGTATTCCTGGGCTTGCTTCGGCTATTAGTGTTCAGCATAGTATCTGTGCATCATGTCTGCAAATTCGCGATTGGTTAGTTTTTAACTTGCTACTTCTGCTTATAAAGCAGTTTTGGTACTCAGTAAATCGACTCATTGCTTCTTCTTGTACTTAATATCCAGCAATTGGCATGCAGATACCCTAACTTATTTCAGAGCCTTGTAGTGTGTTGCTTGTTTGATATACCTTACCCAAAGGGCTGTTTTGGTGTCTGATTGTGGCTTCAGCTCTACTGTGAAAAATGATTTCTTTGGTGGGTGTTCATGGAAAATAGGAAGACTTCCATATTTTAGCTTTAAAAGATTTTTTGCAGGATGGGTCTTCAGTATGTGATTGGTTCTGCTTGTAAAGGGTAGAAGAAATCCAGTTACTATGCCTTGGCTGTACCTCACTAGCTAAATCAAGTTAGAACCATAGGCTTAAGTGCTACATCAAAGAGAGAATGGGTGACACTAAGGGGCTGGTTTTTAGTAAAAAGGGATTTTTACATGCAGTAATGCTGGATGGAGGCTTGAAATGGCTTGGGTGATGTAGCTTGTTCAAGGGGCTGTGCGTCTGGAAGACAATAGTTAAAAGAAGCTGCTTCACTAATTTAATATATCTCCGTGACATGAAACTCTCCTATACTGTCTGTCTTTTGGTGATTGACTGAATTGAAGTGGCTAGAATGAGGTCAGGTCTGGCTTCTTGTCGTAGCTTTTAAAATAATCATTGGAGGCTTCTTATTGTAGCTTTTAAAATAATCATTGGATGTACCTTGTGCCTTTATTCACTTGAGTCTATATGAACTACAGTTTGCTGGGAGTGCATCCATCTGCAAATGAAATTCAGCCTTTTTTTATACAGAACTTTAAATTTTCCAAAGTTACTTACTAGTACTACAGTGTTTCTGTTTATTGTATGCTTCTGTTGCATTGACTTGGAATATGACTTTTTTTTTAATAAAGCAGTACAAAATATTGTAATGTGTACAGTGTAATTTTGTTTAAAATGCTAGTTCATTCTGTTATTTAAAAAAAGAAACCCCTCAGTGTTCAGTTCTAATGAGCTTGTCTTTTTTCGTTGCACAGATGCCACACAAGTCAAGATCTGCGGCTTCAGAATGCCTGGTTTTAGGCCAGGATATATTTTTATATTATTGTTGTGTCAAGAACTCTCACTGGCACACAGTTGCTCTAGCTTTCAATATTGACCTTAAGTGAAAACATGACTATTAATCAGTCTTTCATATCTCATGTGGCTTAAAAGAGCTCTGCAAATTTGTTATGCCTTACTGCAGTGCCTAGTCTGCTGAGCAGCTAAGGAAGGGTGTGTTCTACGTATAAAGTACTAGTTCTACAAACTTGTGACATAGAGTGGAGAGTTGCAATTTTTAAGGGCTGCAGCAGCCTCCTTATAGCAGCTTAGATCTGCACCACAAAGAGTAGATTTCCGCCTCAACTGAGGAGTTGGAAACAAATAATCTGAGTGGGAAGCGTTCTGTGGTCAACCTTCTATTGACAATGACTGTCTCTTGGTTTTTGGTTTTTTTTAGACATCCTTTCTCTCTGACATCATGCGGGTGCAATGATGGTTGTTTGTGAGGTTTTTCTGATCCTTAAATGGAAGGCACTTCCAAGTAGACTCAAATGTCCAGAGCCTGCTTTCTGCAAGAATTGCTATGCTGTATTGTGCCACAGTACTTCTTTTGAATCATTTTGGGGACATCTGTGAAATACTTCATAACATGAGTCTCTTTCTAATGCTCAGAAAGGCCTTCTGCCTAAACTGTGCTTTGAAACTACCAGCTAGTAGACACTTGCACTGAGCCTGGTGACATGCAACAAGGCTTTGGTTAAGCCCTTAACTAAGCAGGAAGTCAAGCAACCTTAGGTATACATTTGAGTTTATATTATGGAACGGAAGAGCTGAATTTTCTTAATCCACAGTCTTGGTTATATATCATTACCCCAAGATCTCCTGTTTGAATTGGGTTTTAATAGCTGTTAGTGAATGCAAATGAAACTTTTCAAGTGGGGAAACCTTTAAAATATATATTGCTCAGAATAGCTGATTTTTGTGACTGCAGCTCTATGTAGTGAGAACCAAGTTATAGTTACTTTTCCCCTTGCAACCATGTTACACGGGTAGCATTACTATTTTCTGTTGCATTTACATAGTGACTGTGTGGGGAAAAGCAAGGAGAGCCACTGGGTTAATGTGTTTATCTAATTCTTTGCAAAAAACAAAGCATATACAGGCATTTGTGCCTGAATGTAACTTTCTGTGATGGAAGCAAAGATAATAACATTTTTTTCTTTTTTTCTTTTCTGTTCAGGACTTAGAGGAATTCTGCTTTAAGTTTTGTGTCAATCATTTGACGGAAGTGACACAAACTACAGCATTTTGGCAAATGGACGGTCCCCTGCTAAAGGAATTCATTGCTAAAGCCAGTAAATGTGGAGCCTTTAAGAACTGAAATGAGGCTGTAAGTTACAGGTGTTTGTAGGGTTTTTTGCAGTTATAACAGGATGTCATAACTGTACGGGTAAAAGTGAGTGTTACCTGGTCTCTTGTACCAGAAGACGTAAAAGGCCACAGTGAAAACAAATGTTTCCTGTGCTCAGGAGCGAACTGTTGTAAAAACGTCAAGCAAAATATTCACTTGCATTTAGCAAACCTGGACGGTGGAACCAGCTCAAGATTTCAGACGGAGAGAGGAAACACTGCAGTGCGCAGAGGATACCAGCCCGGGTATCCCAAGGACTTACCTTTTTAGCCTGGCAAATCTCAGTTCTAGCACCACTTGCTAATATTTTCAATTTGCTTTTTGGGGTTGGAGAATAGTCTGTCTGACCTGAGCCACTGAATCATGTCACTTAAATCATGAACTCCCTGGGATCATGGAGAAGCAAATGGCATGGATATCTCTTACTGCATTTGCATGATTGTGAATTAATTTGCCATTTGCTGTGTGTCTTTAACCAAGTGTATTTGGTGCTTAGAAAAGCGTGCAAAAATAATATATCCTGAAAGCCTGCGCAAGTGACTTGGAAGGAAGGGGTAACTAGCACATCTAATTGGAAGTAAATCTATATTTGGGTATACCTTAACATAAGTTGTAATGTGTACTTTGTGTAATCTGTTCCAGCAATATTTATAATGGTTAATGGAAAAAATTCCCTCTGCGTTGACTTCAGATTATGCTGGTTCCCTTGGAGGGGAAGGGATACACTGATCTGAAAGCAGGGCGGTTGCATTTAAGTGTTGTAAAAATTTAAACTACATGTAATAAAATTCACTTTTTTGTACCTGTTCACTTCTTTCGACTTTGAAGAAAATTGCAAGCTTTTTGTATAAGTTGCTTTATTTAAAAAAAAAACCAAACAAAAAAACGGAAACCCCAAAACCAGGTATTACTGAATCTTACTGGTTTCACTGTGCTTGACAAATACCTGTCCACCTCCATTTCAGAAAACAGCAAATTTATTTGTAGGCACTAATTCAGACCCCAGTGATTGCCATCTATGGATCTGATTTTTTTCACTAATATGTCCGTATGTGACTGTAACCTTACAGCGGGTATGTACGGACATACACACCTACTTTATTGTGCACTTTTAAGGCGTTACCTCCCCACCAAACACAGGGCAGAGCGGAGAACCTGGAACTTCAGATTTGAAGTTGAGGTTAACTCGGGTCTAATTTTGGGGTTGTGACTTTGCTCAGTTTTGCAAAGCTGGAAGTTTGGATTGTTGATAGAGGCAGGGAGCTCCTGTAGCGCGACGTTGGGAGTTCAGTCTAGGATAGTCGGACAAAATGCTTCCAAATGTGTCATAAATGTTTCTGATCAACAACTTGTTTTGGATTGCAAACTCTAGACTAAAGGTCTAGCTTGGCAGGGGGGTGGAGCAGAAGAGTACAGGACTTGTCCTGAGCTTGTCAGCGATTCAGATCGCTGCTATGAGGAAAAAGAGCTCACATGAGCTTTTATGTCTTTCCCATGACAGTGGATTTGCATCTTTCTGTGATCAATCCATGCTCCATGATAATGCACTTTTGGCTGAGGTGGCAGGTTTCTAGGCAGAACGGCTGTGAGCAGAGCTTGAGTCCTTGGCGCAGGCAGTAAATGGGTTGTGTTTCTAGTCCTGGACAGCCAGCAGGCCTGAACTGTGGAAGCAAGTAAAAATACTGGTATTTTGTTCTGTTGGGCACAGCTAATCGTTCTACCCCAAGCGCTTCCGTTTTGGAAGTTGTTACTCTCTGCTTACTGATCTCCACCTTCATACAGAACAAGATCAAGTCACAAATTTTGACTAGTCGTGGAACGAGTGCAGCTCTCCTAACAGGACGGTGCTGCAGCCTGTCATGACAGGCGGTGTTTGACATGATCATCAGGGCAATGGGTGACTCTGGTCCCGCTCTGCTCGCTACTGAGAGGCAAGCTGTGGTTGAACCATGGCCTGACAGCGTACCCCCTCCTCGGCTGCATCCCATGCAAGAGTGAGGCTAGCGAGCATGACTGAACACACCACTTTCTTAAAAACGTTTTATTTTGTTAACTTACCCTTTTGTAGCTAACCAATGCTTTTCTGTATTCAAACAATTTTTTTAAGACAAAACACAGGGAAGTCATAGCCTTTCTTAATGGAGAAAGGAAGATACGGTCCATTGTCTGATCCATTTTACATTGTATATGTTGTTTAGAGTACGATGCCCAACCATTTCTGGTCTGCCTGCAAACACTGTTTCATTGCTGCCATTACAGCAGAACTAGTTATACATTAAGCAGTCAATCAAGCATTGTTTAATTAAAACAAAAAACCAACAAACTCCTGTTTATAATTCAGAAGGCTTCTTTGAGTGCAAGTTCTGCTAATTTATCTTCTTTGGAAAGCCAAAGCAGCCGTGTGATCCTTAAAACACCGCTGTCTAGTTGCAGACAGCGAAGCAGCTACCGCACACAGTCAGAAGAGGGCTCCCACAGTTAAACTGACTTTAAAAAGCTGATGCTTCTGTGTCTTTGAGAAAAAAGTCTTCACTGGAGGGTGTTGTTGAGCTTTAAAAAAAGCTAAGTTTGGTGTATAACACTCACTGATCCATAGTAAAATTTAAAGAAAGGGACAACTTAAAATTATTGCAACAGTGAGGTATAAAAATGAGTAAAACATCCAGCTCTTGCTGTGTCCCAATCTTGGCAGGGGAAGGGGGGGATAAATTTGACACTGACCAGACGTGCTCTATGGTTTCTATCATTAGAAAACCCTAAATATTGACACCACTACAGACCGACCGAGGGGTTAGTCAGACACTGTACTAGATGTATTAGCGGTGTTCTCTTGGGCCGGAAGGACGACTTCTTTTAAGTCCTGCAGCAGCTCAATCTTGTTATCCAGTCTTTTCCTGCTTTCCAGAAGTTCCTGGATTTTTTCCTCTGTTCCTATTATGAAAAAGAAAGGGATAAAAGCTTTTATTCATGTGCAACTATTACTAATTTAAAATATGTCATATATGCATTAACACATAGCCTACAATGAAACCTCTGCCTTTCTGAAGCGAAGTCTTCAGCCTGCTGCCCTGTATGCTTGGTCTCGTCATGAAGAGATGGACTGTGTGTTGTATGAAAGAGATGATAGCTGAAGTATCGAAGTGTCGGAAGAAAACACAAAGCAGCAGAGTTACATACTCTGCCATCCATATACTGTAGTCTCAGAGCCAGCTACCTTACAGATTTAATTTAAACCATCACAGCAAATGTAAAACTTACTGGTTTAGTTACTAACCCCGTGTTATTTTGCATATGAGCTTTACCAGTTCCATTTTCAGAATCCATTTGTATGGGGACTCCTCCAATAAAGATGCATTTTGAATCTTTAAAGATAACATCTCTGAATTGCACACTTACTTAAAGCAAATTTACAAGCCTAATGGAGTTTAGCCACCACCACAATTAAACCTAGAAAGAGATGGTTTGGACAACTGCATTCAACACCTAGAGTCTCAAAAACGTGACTCAAGAGTGTTTAATGTTCCTGCTTCTGGCAAAACCGTTATTGCCAGTATGCTGATGGGGTTAGCCCCGTTCTTCACCTTACTCGCAAAGCCCTGCCTGACTGGGTTTCTGCTGCCATTTTTCTGATGTTGAAGACTATTGAAATCAGTGAGCGCTCGGTAACAGGCCTCGCTAGAATTCAGAAGCATTACCGTAACCTTATACTGTTAACTGTAAGTTTTAAATGAAGCGCCTGCTCTGTTCAGTAACAAAACACGCAGAGGTGTCGGTGACCTCTGAGCAGCAAAGTTAGACAGTGAACACAAACACGTTTTCTCACAGTGTGCGAGAATACCAGAGTTAAGATTTTAGTGAGAAGCAAAAATGTATTTTTCACTTTTTTAGGGGGGAAGACATTGAAGGAGGTCTCCAAAGTTGTAATGGGTGGAGCGGGGAAAGTAGCTCCAGCCGTTTACCCCTGTTCGTTCTGAATTACAGAGCCTGAACCACCCTTAACTGTGATTTCTAAAAAGAAAAGCCTTTGGCCTTCTGCCTTCCCCCTGCTTCTTCCTCTCTGTTCAGAAAGCCCCTCGCTGCTGCTGTTTGTGTGTGTACGTGGAGGACTGCGTATGTGCGCACACTTTCATAACGCATTTTTAAATACATTACCCAATGAGGTTGAGCGCGGATGTTGGAAACGGGCAGCCAGAACGACGGTGGCGTCCACCGCCTCTTGAAAATTCTGGGTAGCAGTACATTGAAGAGGGACCTGACGCCTCACCCTAGCTCTGACTGAAAAAAAAGCAGGTGCCCCCTCTCCTCTCTGCTTTCCTCTGCAGGCGGGTGTCACGGCCCATCGGTGTCCCACCATGGTCCGTGCCCACCCTTCCACAGCGTCAGCTCAACAGTTGACAAGACTGCAATGGAAATCGTCGTCTTCATTGCTTGCCACGGGCAGCCTTTACGGCGTTTCCACGTGGTATCAAGCCTACGTGGTTAAAAGAACTAGCAGGCACATACTTGAAGAAAAAAGCTGGACGTGCACAAGTGGGAGCTGGAGAAAAAACTCTTGGAGAATATTCGGATATGAATTAATAAATTATCAGAAATAAACAAAACTAAGAGGAAACATAACGATTGTGTCACTGTATCCAGCCTATGGGTGACCTACAGACGGAACACATACGGCTCCATTTCTCTTCTTCCAAAAGGATGTGACAAACAGCAACAGCCCAGAGAAAGATGTCAGTGATGGGAATGACTGGCCTACGGGAGCGCTTCCACAGGAAGGCAGATAGATAGATAACAGATTGGGAACCTTCCACCTCATACAGGAGATGACCTAAAGGGAAAGAGTATGTATTCCTGTAAAATCGGGAATGGCCTGAGGAATGTGGACCTGGAATGACTGCACTCGCTCTTCTGTAAGACAAGTGCTAAGGCGCTCTCGGTGAAGGTACCGCGCAACAGTTTTAAAACGAAGTGTCGCCTTCTCTGCACAACTAAATTGCAGAATTCACTGCTACAGATCCCCTGAAAACAAATCCTACCAAGGAGCTCAGAAGCTACTGGACAGACTGCTGACCAGCAAGAAGAGGAGATTAAAGCCGACTGAGGTATCGCCCCAAGCAGGAGACACGGCAACAGAGCGGAAAGCAAAACTCAAGGAAGTCACTTTTCCTTGGAGGAGACAAGAAGAAACTCCAACCTAGAATTTTGAAATCACTGATGAGGCAATAGCAGGTCCCACATGAAAAGTTTTAAATGCAGCCAAGTTTGCAGTAAAGCTGCATGCTGCAAAAGGACTGTTTATCCCTGGATATAAAAGGGATTTAAAAAAGCAGTATCAACAACTACAGTTCAGAGTAACCTTGCTGTGCTGATGCGTAAGGCTTTGTAACAGGTTTTGCACGATGATCCAAGAAGTCAAAAAAAGATAAGATGAAAACACGGATTGAAGGTAAAGCACATCAGATGACCCAAAATCATCAGTTCCAGGAAAAAGAGCAGACAGTATTTATACTAGTCCTTCATACACCGTCAGAGAGACTGAGTAGCTAGAGCTTGGAAGACAAATTGGGACACACACACACAAAAAAATTAAAAAAAAAAAAAAAAAAAAAAAAGGGGGCTTTTTCCTCCCCCCCCTCCGGTTCCACTTGTAATTAACATGCTTATCATTCCTTTCTGACTGGTTCATTTTAAGAGCTCCTCCTGGATCAGTTTTGGAACCAACCTTGATGTGTGTTTTCATTATTGACCTTGAAATTAAAAGTAGGCTGACGGTATCAGAAAAGAAGATTGTGTGGTACAGGAAGAACTGAGCTGCTCAAGTAGCGGGGAACTGGAGAGGGGACAGCTGTTACACACGAGCATCACACGGTTGTGTGTATGTAGGTGCCAGTATCAAGAATTTCTCCTGTAAGCGGAGAAGAGGATGAAATAATTGATGCAGCTGTGAAAGAAACAAGTGCGGTCCAAGGTGGTGTCACATGGGGAATTATGAGCGGAGATGTATTAATGCCCTCAGATGAGGCGCTTGCGGAACCCTGTGTCGGATAACTCTGCAACACCCGTCACTCCCATTTCCAAAAGAGGAATTTAAATGTGAGAACAGGACACTAGAGAGGGCCTGGCTTTCTCAGTCAAGTGAAGGTGGAACGGGGGAAACAGCAAACATCACCTTCACGCACTGAACCTCAGCGTTAGCTAATTAAACCCCACCTTTTCACAGGGATAAATTAAAGCAGAAGTTAGAACAAGGATGCTAACTGTTAGCGAGGGAAATGGGAGCAAGAGACCTGCCTATCTGACAAACGGTTTTAACCTCGTTGCTTACAATAGCTGAGACTGGAGTCCAGGCCCCAGGGTTTCCTTCCACACCAGTGGTCCCAAGTGACCGCTCCTGCCCTTGTTTTCATTTCACTCTGTGAGCGCTCTCAGCTTGTTTTTCCAAGCACGTTAACAATTGCCATCAGGTCCAGGGAACTTCTGCTGATAGTGTTTAATGCTCTTAACTGAAACACAACAGCCAGTCTGAACAGCATTCATCAGACAGGAGCAAAGCTGTAATGCAGGGAAGCTGCTGAAGGGAGGCTGCAGAGGAGGAAGGGAAATAACCTGCAGAAACAGGACACGAGTGCGCCCTGCAGGAGAGGGAAGTTCCTCTGGGGTGGAGACCCTTCGGTCTTTTAAAGCTGTGGAACTGTGACTTGCCTTCCCCTTCAGGTCAGCCAGCCAGATTTGGCATACTGTATTTCTAAAGATTCAGGTAGCAAGAGCTTTTATTCAATTATTTATATAATGTTGAGAAAAAAGTTCCTTGGCATTTTCATTTTAAATGGTCATTTTATCAAAATGCTCAGAAGAATAACTTCAGTGCCAAAAACCATACCAACTGCTACTGCAGGGAGAAAATCAGAAGGGCCAAAGCCAAACAAGAACTAATCGGGCTACTGCCGTAAAAGACAATAAAAAAAGTTTCTGTAAATACATTGGCAACAGGAGGGCTAAGGAGAATCTCCATCCTTTATTGGATGCGGGGGGAAACATAGTGACAAAGGAGGAGGCAAAGGCTGAGGTACTTAATGCCTTCTTTGCCTCAGTCTTTAGTAGTAAGACCAGTTGTTCT